GTAGATAGGGCTTACGGATTATAGGGATTAGGGTTGATAGGGTTTCATAGGTTTGTTTTGTTTTCTTCTGTTTTGGAGAGCTCTTCTCCGACTGCCGAACAGTTAGAATTCCTTACCATAGGGTTTAGGGTTTAGGGTTTGTTTAGGGATTAGGGCTTTATACGAAGAGCCTAATATGCTGGTACAGACGCTTTGCGATTGCTCCTTAAACAGGATGGGAGCTTCTTAGATTTGAGGCATGGGACTTCTCATGGCAAACATCCGAAAGGTTTCGGGTTACCGGTTTGCCTTTGGGGCTTACAGGGTTTAGTATTCAGGGTGGTTTGTAGTCTGGCCTTTCCAGGTGTTAGCCATACGTGCGCTTCAGGTATGTGTGGTCTGTGTGCGTTCCTGTTAGTTAGAGAGTTCAGAGAAAGGTTTCCATGGCCTGACATGGACAGCACAAGGTTTGGGGGGGGGGGTATGAAATGATGCACAAAACACTGAGGAGCCTTGAGGAATAGCGTTGCGAAGACTTCAAACTTCCATGAACTGGCTCTGTGCGGCCGAAGGGTCCCCGGTACTGCTAGGGGGAATGCGACCCCAAAACATAATCGAAATTCTTAACAAAAAACCATGCATTTTGCTTTTTAGGTACTTAGGACTCTTAGGACCCTTGTGGAGACGCTATCTATCTAGTCAGAGTTTGCGGGTCCATAGACTTCTTAAGCGCGGACCTTGCAAACCTCAACAGTGCACGACAACCTGAAGCCGAAGCTTTCCGAACGACACATACATGCAAACGTACATCTACATACACACACATATACTATATGCGTATATACATGTACACTGATGATCATGATGATTGTGATCTGTCGACTTCCTGCTGCTATTATAATGAGTCGTACTACTACTGAAGCATCTTTACAAATATTAAGAACTCATGATAAGAACAATCGTTGTGATTCTGATTACCGGGCAAGCGGGACTCGTACTCATCCTTCGACATGTCTTTCAATCTACTTTGCATTACCATCATGACGAGTAATTGCTTCCGCTTTGCTACGATTACCATTGCTATTGACCTCTCGAGCTCCACTCCCTAAACCGTAACCTGGCTCCGAAGTATGAGCGCCTTCCATGCTTGCAACGTTGCTTGCTCGACCTGCCCCGTGACTTCAGCGAGCTTTAAAGGCTTCATAGGTTTAGGGGGGTATTGGTGGATCGGAGTCGAGGGCTTATGCGTTAGGGTTGTCGAGGGTTCTTCAGGGGATTGCGGGTTGGAGGGGTTCAGAATCTGGCGTTTACAGGGTGTAGCGCTTGGGGCTTTGAAAGGGGAAAGGCGAATCGCAACGCCAGGGCCGGTTGCCCGCATCTGCAAACTATGTAAGTTCTGCTCTCGAATGCCCGCTCCTGCCTGAAATGTCCTCCGGTATCGGGTGCTTCGTTTTAGTTGTATGCCTCTCGGCGACAAGTGCCGTGGAGCGCGTATCGCTGTTTGGAGGACCGATCACCAGGATGCCGAGGACTCTTGGCAACGGGGATAAGTTTCAATCCTGCTTTTGGTTACCTCTGCAGATCATCTAGTTCTCCTTTCCAGTTCTACGGGACCCTGACCACGGAATAGTTCAAAGAGAGGAGCGACAATCGAGGGTCGAGGACGAATGTCAGCGTTCCTAGCTCTGGAAGTCGCCGCATGAACTGCAGCACATGCAATCCAACCCATGTATGGGATGCAAGAAGACCAAGCTAGTCATCTAACGTTGTGTCTTTTGGCCAGTCGCTTCAGGCCAGTTGTTTCAGATGGGCATCGCTACTCGCCTCATCAGCCGAATCAGATGTTACACAAGATGGACCAACTATGACTCGGTTCAATGACAAACAACTCGAGCCAGCTGATTCAGTCGATCCCACAGCGAATCCCAGATGGACGAATGCCGAACTGTGATTGACTTGAAGCCCTACGCTTCAGCTCTGCAAACCTGGTGTGCATCCCAGATCCGCAAGCCAGAAATCAGGTAACAGGCCTTCTCCTGCATCAGCTTAGACTTGTTCGGGTGAGCGGCGGGTGTCCTGAGACTCCGTCCGCACTTCTCTTTGCGAGTGTGTGTTGTGCACGTGCTTTGCCTTCACAAGCAGACAATCGCACATACCGACAGGCAGACAAAAAAATGCACGAGTGCGCACTTTTAAGCAAACATCAGCGAGCTGTTGATCCCCCTGGCTTAGATGAGAGTCCGTGCTTAGGAACTTCTGGGGCATGCAGTTTTCACTGATGATCCACGAGGTGGGACTATACACGTTTGACACTCAAACCAGCGAAGACTGGATATCTCGTCATGGGTGCTTGAGGCCACCGGTTCACGTGCCCATCAAAATGTTCATTTCGATGCTCAAGGTTCAGGGTTTAGGGTTCCCCTTACAATTTTCAAGGATGCTCCACACACGGCCGGTGCCCTCATAACGTCGGCAGCATGGTATAAGTTCAGACGCGCATAATGTATGCATATATACATATGTGTATAGACACGCAGTATATATACAAATGCATATACATATACATATACGTATACATATACACAATCATTGTCATACATACATACAAATATACACCTTCACCTTGAATTTTCACCATGGTCCCTTGTGACCGACTTCTCTGCTGTTTCTGGGTACATGGACCTTTCAGCGAGAGGTCCAACTGCCTTCCAAACCGAATTGTCTAAACCCCTCATGTAGGGGCCTTAATAATTCGACCAGGGCTACCGTTTAAGGGATCCTTAAAGAGCTACTATAGGGGCGATTATGAGGATGAAATATAGGGGCCTTAGTTTGAGTACGATTTTGGGGTCTATTATACTATACCTATAATAAGATGGACCCCACCCCCGAAAATATGGTACTGGTAATGGGTCAGGCCCCTATACTAAACCCCAAACTGCTAAACGCTAGCCCGAAAGCCCTAAGACCTTAAACCCCCAAACCTGCAGAGCACCAAGTCCCTAAGCCCCTGTAATCCTAAACCCTACACCCTGCGTGGAGGATCATGAGACTTAGTAAGTATGGTAGTACCTTAATTGGAATCATAATAATAGCTACCCGAATTTTAAGATCTAGTTACTGAGTCCCATGATCCTTTAAAGCACGCTCCCGAACCCCTAACCCCTACACCCCAAACCCTAGACTCTAAACCGCCCCGTCCACAGTGAACGGAAGGGTTGAGGCCCGGACGGCTCCCGGCAGCACAGCGCCTTCAGGGGTTCGGCCTGGCGTCCCAAAACGCTTCAGGTTTAGGGTTTAGGGTATAGGGTTTAGGGTTCAGGGTTTCGGTTTTATACGGTGAGGGATTTGGGCAGGCGAGCATGGGGTTGCTCATGGCATCTCTCTCTCGCTCTCTCTGCTTGTATGTGTATGCGTGTATTATACATACATACATACGTGCATACATGCAAGTACAGTAGAGTACAGCGTAGGAAAAGCTCGGAGTAAATCCATGAGGGTCTGCAGGGCGCATTCTTACACGACATCTGCAAGCAACCTTTTCTCGAAGCGAAGAGTTGGCGGAAGGCCAGGGGTTTAGGGGTTACTCAGAGATCCCAATATCCCTTAATTAAGGAATATACCTTAAATTTTAGAGGCCTTAATATGGTGGTTTAAGGTATATTCCTTAATTGAGGGGTATTGGGATCTCTGGGTTAGGGTTTCTACCGGCATCTCCTGTTGCAGGAGCACCAGTGTCTTGGTCCATGTTCCACTGGCACGCACTCCTGCTCGAGGGTGCATTGTCACCGGAAACAGCGTGCAAACCTACCTCAACCCCACATTACCTACCTTGCGGGGCTCTTTTTTATGATGTCTTGATATTTTTCTTGGAGGATCACGGGACTCAGAAAGTAAGGCAAGTACCTTAGCCCTAGTTACTAAGTCCCATGATCCTTTAAGTAGGCCCTTCAGAGAGTCAGGTGTTCTAGGGTCCAGGTAGACCGACGAGAAAACTGAGTTTCAACGTCGCTTGCGATCCTTCGAGCACTTGTGGTCTGGAGAGAGCTGAGACAAGAGTGATAAGAACAGTAGAGTACTAGGGTATCTAATATTGACAAAATTCATAGTAGCAGTTATGTCCCTTTCTGGGTCCCTAATGTAATACGGCACCTAATATTTAGGGTACCCAAAAAGGGACCCTAATTTTGACAAATACCCATATGTTTAGGAGTGATGGAAGGTTTGGCCAGTCGCTGGCACACGAAGACTCAAAGTATGGCCACGGGGCGCCCAGAGCTCAGAACTGAGCGAAATCCTAAACCTTGATTCGTGATCAGGTTTAGGCATAGGCTTAGAGTACGTGGTATGGATAGTATAGTGTTTAGGCTCAAGGTTCAACTTTTAGTGGCTTGTACAAACGACAGATTAGGGAGAAACAGGACTCCGTGTAGCGACTGTAGTGCGATGCCATCACTGATTCGCATACCCTAGTCTTCTTGTGACTAGTAATCCGAAAAGCTAAACTCGCACCCGAAACCCCAAAACCACATATCATGGTGACTCTACGCATGGGCTCCGCAGTAGTTCCTTCTTGGGATTATCTTACTTAAAGGATCATGGAAATTAGCAACTAGGGTTATAATTAATTAGGGTAACCATACTTATAACCCCAGTTAAGGTACTTATAGCCTTACTTACTAAGTCCCATGATCCTCCAAGTATAGGATTTTAAATACGGCTGATGGACAAAATCCTGCATGACCCTAAGGACTCCAAACTATGAGAACTATGGTATAATCCTTATAATGGGTAATGCAGGATTTCGTCCATCAGCCCCAAAAAGGAAAACTACCCATAGGCTCCACAGTAGTTCCCTTTTGGGATTACCTTATAGGCTTATAGGATTTTAAATATGCGCCCCAAAAAGGGAACTACTATGGAGACTCTAGGTATGTATGAAGTATAGGATTTTACATAGTTTTAAGTATGAGCCCCAAAAAAGGGAACTACCATGGAGCCCTCGGGTCGAAGGCAAGTCCTCAGAGCTCGCTCTTGCCGTTGGTCAGCAGCTGTCCATTCTGCAGGCGCTCGGAGAAAGTCATCACCTTCCTGAGTTCGCTGAGAGAATGCCACAGAATAAACCCTAAACCCTGTAGATCCCTCTAAGGAACCCTATAGATCCCTTGAAGGAGCCCTTTTACTTACTATACTAACCCTAAACCATAAACCTTAAACCCTGAACCCTAATACCCCTGAACCCTAAGCCCCTACAGAATACCGCCCGGATTTCGTGGCTTTCTGGAACTTTAAACGGGGCTATGAGAATTCAGAGGATAGGGCTAAGAGGTTCAAGTTTTTTGGGGGGTTTACTTCAAAGGTTAAAGGTGCAGGGGTCCCGGGGTTGAGCTTAGGTTTCACCAAAACCCTAAACCCCGAACCTTCTCGTGGGAAGAGCCAGATGTTGGGACTGCGAGAAAGCCTGGGCCTTTGCAGTTTCCTCAGAGGGTCTAGTTCATTGTTGGGATAGGATTAAAAATGTACATTTTTATTCCTTATTGGGTTTAAGTACCCATAAAAATGTAAAATGCTACCCAACAGTGACAAAGGGGTCCTCATACTTTCCTAAAGCAGAATAGGAATTCCTGATAGATAAACCCTACCTACGTAGAGGCTCCATAGTAGTTCCTTTGTAAGGTCCATGTTTAGAATCAAAAGGAGCTGCTAAGGAGCATATGGGTACATTCTACTATATAGGACCTGAGGAACCTTTAGTGTTGGGTGCTTGGAAGGGTGGGTCGTTTCAAGATCAGTGGTTGTCAAAATTAGGGTCCCTTTTTGGGTACCCTAAACCAAAGGTGCCGTACTTGGGTTTGGGGGCCCAGAAAGGGACCATAATTTTGACAATCACCCAAAGGTGGGACAACTGGGAGAACGGCCCTCGAGACAGAGAGAGCATCTCCATCAAGGTGAAAAGCAGTGAACGAGTTGAGACATTGAATCATAAGGACTTTTAGGGGACTTAATACGGCCTATTTAAGGAAGTATAGTCCCCTACCTCCTCCCCCCTGCCTCCCTACGGATCCCTATGATTGAAGGTTATTCGCATGTCACTTCTATCTGCAGCATGACCGGTAATTTGGCTGTGGGCTCGAAACCCTTCTGATTCGAAAAGGCATGATCAGATGGAAGCATCCAAACCTCAACCTTCCTCCCGGAGTTTGGAACCGAAAAATGCTCATCAAAGTCACATGCCACGAACTGAACCTATCTACGAAACCGAAAACGAGGCTCCACATCCTAAGCTGCAACGACGGGTAAGCATCATGTCGTAAATTGCCAAACTTAGTAAACCAAACTGTAAAACCCTAAACCCCTAAACCCCTAAACCCTAAACCCCTAAACCCACACCATGACTGCCACCGCAGTGCAAGGGATGCATTGACATCAGGGCGCCAGGGTAACCTGGGAAGGCGAGATGGACAAACAAATGCCAAAACCCAGAACACCAAAACCCTAACAATTCCTAAAACCCATATTCTGAGACCGTACATGGACCCTTAGCGCAAGCTGTTGCGAGATCTTGGAGTCTCGCCATTGGGATTTTGGGCTAGGGGGTGCGGCCATGATCCGTGCTTTTCTACTTGAAGGATCATGGGACTTAGTAAGTAAGGTTGTAAGTAGATATAAGTACAGCTACCCTACTTGTAACCCTCGTTACTAAGTCCCATGATCCTTTAAGTAACCTTACAGAACTACGGTTTAGGGTTGCCTGACCTGAGTTTGTCCCCTTTGGGCCCAAAAGCCGCAAACGGTGTGTCCTTAGATCCTTGAACTCTTGAACCCTGGAACCCGACTTCCAAAAATGCCCTAAGCCCTAAGACTCAAAAACCCTGCAACTCGAAGCTGTTAGAGTGTTAAGCTCTCAAACTTCTTCTTGGAATACCCACGAATGCATGTACTCGCCTCGTATATACTTTGGCCCTATACATAGGTAGTGTAGTTACTGTAGGGCCAAAATGTATCCTGTATGGATACATGGAACCTGAAACCTAAACCCTAAATCCACACTACTGTTAATATGGGATAGAGCCCTTAGTGAGTAGAACAGGGTTTTGGGGTCTATCAAAATATATTTCAAGAAAACACCATCAGGAACACTGTGGATATTTATTCGTGATTCTATATCCTATACCTGTAATCATCTAGATCTTGACAGAACCCCTTACACAGCCCTTTAAAGGACTGTATAGTAGGCCAGGCGACCCGTCTCCCTCGCATAGGCGTCCTCGCAAAGCCGGAGCCAGATCATCGGCAGCAACGCAACTGAGATTGGAACTTACATAGACTTCATCGAGTTTGGGCTTTGTTTTCGTGTATTCATAGTACTATTGCTCTTGTTCTCCTCCTTACTATTATGAATATTAGTAGCATCGCTACTATTCCTGTCCTTAGTACTAACATGTGGTGTACATCCATTCTTCGTACCATTATCCGTACTATTCTTCCCCTACAACTTGTAGGTCTCCATGGGTCTCCTAACGATTTAGTTCGATATAGAAACTTGAAAATGGCTTGAATAAGGATCTGGGCTTTATTGTCGTATAACTACATTGAGAAATGGCATTGGTAATTACTCAGCCTACCGACGTTAGAGCTATCAGGTTGAGGTCCAGGGAGTAGATCTAAGTGCGCCTTGGGCTTAGAGAGTGTAGAAAGAATCTAATTTTTGGAGACTGGGGTGTCGGGCTTGGAGTTCGGGCTTAGAGTTTAGGGTGCAGGGTCGTCTACCTGCAGCCCAAAACCCCGTCCCTCTAAGGCTTCTCACTGTGGGGTTTGGGGTTTAGAGATGATATAAGTTTTCGGACTACCGGTAAAGTTTAGCTACCGCAAATTAAGGTTTAGAGTGCAGGGTCCAAAAAGGAAAGCCTAAGGTTGAGGCGTTCGAGGATTTTTGGTTTAGGGCTCGAGGAGTTCGAGTTCAAGTCATGCGCGAATTCTGCCAGTGTGGAGCTGGCGAAGTTCAGGATCATGAAGCTTTTGTGATGGCACCTCTACTCCTCCAAGAAATGCAGAGAGCTCCTTCTTATCCTGTAACTCTGACAGGTAGACTCAGATAGAGTCTAACGCACAGTCATGGTATCCTTTGTTCGGGATAGGATGGTGGGAGCTACAATAACAATTAACGGGAGTCTCTTGCTGTGCCGAAAAGGAAGTAAACAACAAACAAGACAAACAAAGACATAGCAGGTCTAAAGTTGTAGCTGTAGCTCGTAATAACAGTGTTGGAGTGGGATTTTGCGCTGAGGCTGTGCTGACAAAAAGGCCTAAGGATCTGGAGCAGTAGATTGCCAACATCGCTTCAGCACAGTAGTCTTCTTGCAGTCAATAGTGGCGAAACGAGGACTCTGTCCAAAGATCTACTTACAGAAACACAACATCGCTCCGGACATTTAAGTCTTTCAACACTACCCATACGCTCCATAGTACTTCCCTTTCGGGATTACCTTATAGGATCCTAAACATGAACGAACCCCCAAAAAGAACTACTATGGAACCTCGAGGTACGTATACTATACCCATTGGACCCTGAACCCAAACGCTTTGCCAGCTTCAACCTTGATCCCGAGGCCCCGGAATCTTTTACATTGCGTCAAGAAGCCCTAAGGCTCCATGTAAAGTAGTCCTATATAGTCTAGGGTTTTGGGGTTAGGTGCTTTGGGGCCAAGTATATACTATTTGGGTACATGGACCCTTAGGGAAAGAACGACAGGACGTCTAGAGGCCGAGCCGCAAAACCTGGCGTTTGCAGCTCGAGGAATGTTGAGGTGCCCAACATGCTTTAGTAAACCATAAGTGGCTCAGCACGATAGACGAGTGGCACACAAAGCAGCAGATGAAGAACATGCAGTCCTGCAAAGAGCTCGCTCATGCGGCTTAGTTGCCAAAACAAGCCACGCCAGATAGTATTGGCATCGGTTGTCAGTTGTGTGAAATCACAGCAGGAAGGATGTAACGAGACTATTCATTGTAAGGACACTTGTTCTTACTATAACATCTTATACATCTGCTGTAATGTCGGCAATGCACACCGGTACAGCAAAGGCCTTGACATCCCTCGACAGGGCGGCGGCTCAGTGTTTCATTTAGGGTTTAAAGGGTCGATGGTTCAGGGTTCAATGTTTCATGTAGGTTTAAGGGCTGATTATAGGGTTTGGAGACGGGCGGTCTTCTCAAAATGTTGAACAACATCTCCGTCCGACGGACTCTGCTTTCTTGATTGGTAAGTAGCTAGCAGCCCGTTTACATCACCTGTGGGCCGGCACATGAGCCAAAAGGCTTCAGAAGTTCCTGAAACTAACCAGGATCGGCCGATGGCCCAAAACCCATCGAGGGACATTATTCTCAAAGGGGAAAAGGAGGGACCCTTAATGGGGACCCCTACCCTATAATGGGCTATACAATGGGTATATAATGGCTATATTATGGGTATATAGGGGTCTTTATTAGGGGTCCCTCCTTTTCCCCGTTGATATTCTATCCCAAAGGGTCCAAAGTACCTATATGGTAGAATGTAGGGTTTCTATATTAGGAATTACTATTATGATTTGGGGAAGTATTCCCCATAACAGTACCTAGGACCCTGGGGGTATGCACATTTGGAGTCCAGGTAAGATCTCAGTACACGCTCGCCTTCATGCCTCTGAGCGCGCTGCGAGCCCTTAGGGTTTAGGGTTTATGCTTTAAGGTTTAGGGTTTAGGGTTTAAGGTTTAGGGTTTAGGGGTTAAGGTTTAGGGTTTCTGCTCCGGCCGCCGAGGGGACTACTTGCCAGCACCCTCACAGGAAAACCTCAATCCTAAGCCATCCTAAGCCCCAAAACGTGCATGGAATTTCCGAGGGTCGATTCTCACGGGTTGCCACTTGGAGTCAGTTGTGCTTCTAGTTTGGGGCTTTTTTGGGTGTGGGGCTTTAGGAGCTTTTACGGTTTAGTTTAGGGTTTGGGGTTTGTGGTTTAGAGTTTCGCAAGCGATTCTTGAACCTACGACTCAAGACTTCAACATGCCGAAAGCATCCTTACCATGCATCGCGAAACCAACACTTCCGTAGATACGTAGCTGTCTAAGCGGAAAATGCGGCTCAATTACGGGAGCACTTGGAGGATCATGGGACTGAGTAAGTAAGGTTATCAGTACCTCAACTGGGGTTATAAGTATAGTTACACGATAACCCACTAAGTCCCATGATCCTTTAAGTAACATTCGCGCAAATGGAAGTTGAAGTCTGCTGACGCACGTCCCGGTCCTTGGAAACGATGTTTTGCCTTGGCTTGGCGGCACTTTGTCCCGCAAGTAGAGATGCAACTTCTGTGAGTGTCGGGTGATCTGAGGGATGTACTGTAGTAGCTTGCTGTCCTGGTACATTATGGATATGAGGCAGGTACAACATCTCGGTACGGAGGTGAATTGGCTTCTACACATGGGCGGAGACTTAGCAAAGGGTTCGGGAGTTTGGCAGGCCTACAACACTGCTTATGCCTGGGCATATGGTAAGGTGCTTACGAGCGCAATTCCAGAGGTGTAGACTGTCCGGGGCTGTGGGGGCCAAGCTTCTTTTCCATGCAAACTTGAACCTTGCCGACAGAAAGCATTGCAACAATATCCGTTCCCGATAAACTGTACACGACCAAATTCCGGAAACCTTGGGCGATCCCTAAACCCCTATGTAAACCTCTAAACTCCTAACCCCTAAACCCCTAACCACCGTAACATTTCTCAAACCTGAAAAAGCTAACAAAACCCTAAACCCTAAACCCTAAATACAACCGCACATGAGAGAAGTTTGGGATGCCGACACTGCAGTCGACTGCACAAGAGTCACAGGGATCCTTTGGGAGGAGGGTAGGGGGAGCGGGGTAGGGGACTATACTTCCTTAAAAAAGGGTAGGGGGCTATACCTCCTTAAGTAAGAGGCCGGATTAAATCCTTATTATAGGCATTTACGCCCCCCCTACCGCCCTACCCCCCTAAGGGTCCTTATGAAAAAGGTCTTTCTAGACCAGAACCAGCGTGTACTCGTAAACCCTATATTTTAAACAAGCCCTGGTCGCCTAAATCCCCAGTAAGCCCCAAATCTTTAACCCGAAAAGTCCTAAACCCGATCTGAGATAACCGGTCTGGTGGTGGTTCACAGAGGTTCGTATAGGCGCCTTGATAGTGAGAATAGGAATCTGGCAAGGAGTTGTACTAGTAGTTCTTGTGGCTTCTATAGTATGGTAACAGGTTTTCATAGTTCAACAGGAACCTAGCTTTGACTTGGAGTGGCTGAGAATCTTTAAAGATTCCACCGTCTTCTGGTTTGAGGCTTTCGATTCCCTGCTTATCAGGTTTAACGGCTCGAGTGCCTTTCCCTCAACTAAAATACGCTGCAAGCCACACTAAACTTCTTTAAAATGCACTCTCAACTTTGAGAAGTACCCTGAGATGTCATTGCTACTGCATCCCTCAAGTTCTTCAACCTGTAAAACAGAACTGACGGGAACCGTTAAAGGAACCTTCAACGGTACTTAAACTCTACACCGTCAACCTTACTCTAAGGAGCATCACGATCGGTCTGTGCGATTCGATCCTGATGCCAGTACGTTTGCTCGCCACTCGCATGGCTCTTCGGACCTGCGTCGTTGACTCTAACCGTAAGGGTCCCAAGGACCTAATGTTTTCTTATTCGGATTTCGGATAGTGGTCATGTCGGTTAGTACTTGGGAGAGTCTCTTAACTCAGCATATAAATGGCTTAGGTTGTAGGTTCAGCTTTTAGGGTCCATGCACCTATACTGTTGTTACATTGTCCCCGAAGTTGCTGTAGAAATGTCTGTAAGGCCAAAGCGTGAGTTGATAATGTAACCATGCGCATGGGCAGTTGGAGGTAGGGTTATCCAAACGGTCCTAAGAACCTATATATATATATATATATATATATATATATATATATATATATATATATTATATGTATATATATATATATGTATATATATATATATATATTATATTATATATATATATATATATATATATATATATATATGTATATATATATATGTATACATATACATATATATATATATATATGTAGTAGAATGTAGGGCGTCTACAATAGGGACTTTTATTAGTATGGTTTGGGATAGTATCCGGGTTTCTGGGGACGCTTCTAGAAATCTATGCAGAGAGATTTCAGGCTTCAGGGTCTTCGGGATTGCAGGTTTTGTTGGGTTCAAGGCTTGGGGCTTCGGGCTTCCTATGGTTTCAGGGTCAAGGCTTGAGGGTAATAGGCCCGTATGCTCTACCGTCGATGAGGCAAGAATCAAACGGCCCCTGACAGTATTTTTCTGTAACCATAAGGGTTTATAGAGTTCCTTCAAGGGAGCTATATAGGGTTCTACAATCCTGCCCCAGAGATCAGAATGTTTGCAGGAACTGGCGCGGGGTTCGAAACAAAAAATCCAAACTCCCCACATCCATACACCCCACACCCCTGAACCCCAAACTCTAAAAACCCCGAAACCCTAAACTCTAAAAACCCCTAAACCCCAAACTCTAAACCCCTAACCCGTAACAAGAAAGGCCAAGATGAACCTCAGCGCCTCGATGCAAGGTTGCAGGGTACTCCATTCAATGGAGACCTTCCAGTTGGAGGGGGCACTTTAGGGTTTAGGGGTTTGGGGTGTTAAGGGTGTAGGGTTTTAGGGGTTTAGGGGTTTAGGATTCAGGGTTTAGGGTTTTAAGGGTCTAGGGGTTTAGGGTTAGGGGTTTGGGGGTCTGGGGGTTTAAGGGTTTAGGGGTTTGGGGGTTTGTGGCTCTGAGCACTCCCCAGGGCTTTATGAGGGTTTTCGCGCACTTTCAGCTCAACAAAGCCCCCTTGCCACCTCTTCCGCCCCAGATCGTAAATCCTGCATCCTAGACGCAATCTGGGAACGTTAGACCCTAGACTCTTCCCATCCCGCGGCTCTGCGACCCGTGCAGGAGTTCAGGATCCTGCTCACACCCAAAGGGTCCAAAGTATATGGTAGTAGAATGTAGGGTTCCTATATTAGGAATCACTATTATGATCCTTTGGGACAGTCTTGGGCCTTCTCTGATACGATTTGGGTCTAGGGGTTTACTTTACGGGTTTAGGCTTAGGTCAGGCATGCCGCGCCCGAGCAAGGAAACCGAAACAAAGCTGCAGATCAGATACTTAGTGGGAAAACGCAAGCCTGACAGGCTTAAGGGTTGGGCGATAGGTTGCGGGTGCACATGATTACTTAAAGGATCATGGGACTTAGTAACTAGGTCATAATTGGAGTAACTATACTTATAACTACTTATATCCCCAATTGAGGTACTTATAACCTTACTTACCGAGTCCCACGATCCTTCAAGTAGGGTATGGCTGGGCGTCAGGGTGCAGGATCTCGAGATTGGGGTGTAGAGGGTTCAGGGAGCAGTGTAAGGGTTTAGAATACCATATTCAGAGCTGCAAGTGCAGCCAAGGATTGCTGCACCCGACAACCGCAAAGTGGTGCAACACAAGTTAATGGCTTTGAATAGATTCAGCTTCAAAGATTCAGTGAAGATATCGGAATGAGTACGGAAGCTTCCGGTTCGAATTCAGGATATAGGAGCTGATTTGGGCGTGTGTTGTGGGACAATGACATAGACATTGTCAGACAAACAGAGCCCCCACCCCCCTGCCGGTTCAGCATGCGATATAATAATGAGAGTAGGGTTTTAGGGCCCATAATACTATAGATATAATGAGGAGCCCCAAAGTAGTATATATGATTATTAAGGCCGATATAGTAGGCCACCCTGCTCAGCCGAGTGGCCTTTTGCCGGCCGCACCATCCAGCAGCTGGGCGACCCAAGAGACTCATCATGAAGATCGACTCCTCGGAAATGCAAGAATCAGCTTAACCCTAAAACGAAAACCCTAAACCCGAAACCCAAAACCCAAAACCCTAAACCCCGACTATGAGGTTCAACAGCTCTTTGCAAAACGCAGAGGAATCCTGCCAAGTCCTCTCCTGAGAAGAATCATCATGCTTAGAAGACGGAATGGCATTTAAGAGCACATTACAGCAGGGCGACTAGCATAGAGAGGGCAGCCGAGATCTCTCATGCATATCACACACACACACACACACCTTCATGACTTTAACCTGGTCTGTGTCACGGAAGCTTGAGCAACACTTGGACATCGGCTTCGTGGGTGAGTGGCTGGGTGGTGTGCGCAGGCTCCAAAGGCAAAACCTCTGGACAAGAACATCTAAAACTCGATGCAGCTATTGAATTGAGTGAGTAGCCTTAGCATTTAGGTCTCGAGCACTAGACGTGTCGCTTAAATTTCCGTGACGCGCAGATACGAACATTAAAAAGACAACCCATGAGATGTCGGTCTGTGCCTGTTGGGTATGCATGAGGCGGATGGACACGGAACTTAACCGCCTTCTCAACCCTGGTCGCGCTCTTGATGTCCACTGCATTGTCGAGGCATGGAAGGACCGAATGCCACCAAAGAAAAAAACAAGAACTCGCAAGGTTTGAACCAGATGCTTCAATGGTAGGTCTAACCCCGAGACTCTCTGGGAATCTTCAGCCGTGATGCGCAAATTATCATGCAACCTCTGAGATTCGAGGCTCACGGGCTCGATTTGCACTGCTGGTTTTATGCTATCAGTCGGATTGACAGGGGTTCGAACTGGCCCATGGAATCTCGCTGTAAGGTTGCTGTACTATAGGAAGGTGCGTGGGCAAATCTTCACTCAAATCCTCGGCCTCTACACTATGTGTCGATTTCAACAATCTCCAGAAGTGGTTGTATGTTTTTGCGGCATTCCATACTAAACCACCCGGTAACTTAAACATATCCCAAATCGATGCCTAGTACAGTGCAGATGGAAATCCACAGCATCTGGCATGTCGTCAGCCACATCCGACCTGCAGCGCTCCCCACAAGCCTCCTGCCACCTTTAAAGTGCGTTGTGGACTGTAGGCTACAGCTACACAGTATGGTGCAGATAACCTTGATAAAGACAGTAAAGATAATCTGTAAAAGAAACATAGTACAGATAACCTTTGATAAAGATAATACAGATAGCATTCATAAAGGCAGCTGGGTTTCTGCAGGTTCTTCTGCCCAGCTTTGGCCGCTGTTGGTTTTTGCGTTTTACGGGATAGGACATGCTCCGACCTCCTCCGACCTCGCTGAACCCCCGACCAATTCAGCAACAGCCCCTAAACCCCAAGCCACAAACCCAAAACTCTAAGTCCCAAGCTCTGATCCTACATCCACTGTATGCTGCACTGCCCGCATGTATCTGCAGACTTCCACATGCGCTGTCTCCAAAGTGACTTGATTGAGTTGCTTGGTGACAGCAACTGCCCACAAGCACCTGAAGACTTGACATAGAAGCGAACATTAGCTTCTGCAAATGCTCTGCGGCCAGATTCTGTGCAAGATGCTGACTGTTCTGGAGTCTGAAGATTTCGACCGCCCCCCAAACACATACTGGTTGTTGGGCACAACAGGAGTGGACATGGCCATCGTGCTTCAACTTGGAAAGACAATGCAGACCCAGACATCATCACCATCATCATCATCATCATGGCAACCATTGCAAACAGCATAACATGCCCAGTAGGTCCATCGCGCCTCAAACAGGGTACAACCACAACTACAAACCGAGCCTTTAATTTGGCAACCATACCTCCCTCAGAACCATAATAAACAATAGCATGTTTAATATTCTCTTGGGCTTTCTATGAACAAAAATGAAAAAAAACAAATCCTAAGGAGACTGTAGACTCATACAGGGGCCTTAAATCAACTCTGGGGGTCTCGGGCTTATGGGTTCAGGGCTCTTAAGCTCTCTGAGGCTTCAGGGGTTCAGGGCTTCATGGTTCGAAATTAGGCCCTAGGGCTTCAGGGGTTCAGGGGTTCATGGTTCAAAAGAAGGGTTTAGGGCTTCATGGTACAAGATTTAGGGTTTTCGGGGTTCATGGTTCAAAATCTAGTGGGTTGAGGTTTCAGGGTCTATTTTCCCTTTGCACCCTAAACATCTCTGAACCCTACACCCTATACCCAAAACCCTATACTCTATACCCTAAGCCCTGAAATCTAAACCCTATACCCTAAACCGCCTAAACCCTATACTCTATACCCTAAGCCCTGAAACCTAGACCCTATACCCTAAACCGTATACCCAACTCCACAAGAATGGAGTCCGAGCGAGCCAGGGGACCAAATCATCCGGCCCTGCGGGTGAGTCAGCTTCTCCAGATTCACACGCCTTAGTCTGGTGCAGGGTTTAGGGATTTATTGGAGTACTGAAAACCTAGAAGAAGTGAACCAGGAAAAAGGAACCGAAAGGAACACTATCGGCAATTGTTCAAGCCTATATATATATATATATAGCCATATATATATATATATATATATAATTTTTATGGTTTGGGGCGGTTTGGGGTGTTTGGACGTCCAGCTTCGTCGAACCACGAACATGCTCGTCTATGCAGGGTGGACCGATTCCTGAACCCTCCTCCCCGGAAAGTTGGGTTGAGATCATGGGACTCAGTAAGTACAGTTATAAGAACCTTAATTGGGGTTATAAGTAGTTATAGGTATGGTTACCCTGATTATAACCCTAGTTACTAAGTCCCATGATGTCTACGCCGCAGAGCCAAAGTAACGCAAACTTACTGGCATGTAGCTGTTTCATAGCATGGGGCAAAACAGCAGAAGCCATTGTGCCTGGAATCTGCCTGGAAGCGATTTGCGCACTCAGTTAAAGGTATGTCTGTTTTGCAACGTTCGGGATGCAGCTTGGCCGTACAATGCAGGTTACAATGTAACATAAGAGGAAAACGGTGTATGATGTGTATTCTTTCCTTCCAAACATTGTAGAAAATGACACACGACTGCGTGATTCCCAGTTTGGACGTCAAAGTTCTTGATGGATGCTCGAAGCGACATAGCCTGCGGCTCCATATACCCATGTACGTAGTAGACACGTTGGTCATGGTTGGCCTTAGAGTCGTCTCTATATGGCTCCTTTAGGGCCAACTACATATACATATACATGCATATATATATGTGTATATACATATATATATATATATATATATATGATATATGATATATATATATATATACATATATATATACATATATATATATATATACATATATATATATATATATAGTGTATACATGTATACATCTACAAAATTACATACAACTGTCCATATATCTAATACATATATATATATATATATACACACATACAGAGAAAGATACACGAGCGTGAGGGTTAGTCGGATCAGCATGTGTTGTGACTCGGCGTCTGCGTTGTGATCTTCAAGAACTCGGAAGCAGACACCTGGCAGTCAAAAAACAACCAGCTGTCTGTTGGGTACCGCCCCCAGACAGTAACAGTCTATAAACGGGCTGCTATTAATATATGTATATTATAAAGATTATTCAACTGTTACCCGAGTGGGGGCAGTACCCAAGCTCTCAGCAACAGTAGCATGCTATAGTACAAACCAAGATGTTTGCTAAAGTACGACGAAACATAATATGATACAACCTGATACCATATACATACTATGCATACCGCAGTACACAGAAACATAATACATTCAACCTTCAGAACTGCAGAGGCCACCTTAACCTCGAGGAGTTTCAATGAATCTCGGCCCAGGCACATTTCGGAGCGTGGTGGGTTGCACTTCCTCAAGCAGATCCGTAGATTGACAAACAGGGCTGAGGCACGCAGCTGCACCCCGATTTGTAGGCTCCGGACATCTACGGTCTGTTGCATTCAAACACGGGGGCAGACCGCTGTGATAGAAGACATATGGTTTCAATAACAAGATGTCGTCCGCCTCCATCACAAAGACTGCAAACAAACACAAATCTTCACGACTAACGCAGACTGGCACGCCTACCAGGAGACTGGTACTTTCCGGGTTGGATCTACGGTAGTGTACCACTCCTCTTCATATCCCCGGAGCCATGCAGACCCCTTCTGCCTCGAATACCACAGGTGTCATGCAGGGGTCTTAAGAAATAGAATAGGTTTTGAGTTTAGATCTGTGCAAACATGTCGGACGATGTCGGGATATCACTACCAACTACTCAGAAAACTATATGAGCCCGAAACCAGAACTCCTGAACAATTGGTGCCCACACTTTCAATACTAGACTCGGAGCAAGCCTCAAACCACCGGACCCCACATCTCTGAATTCTTCTGAAGAGCTCAGGGCTTGGATAGAGCTTTTCAGCTCTTGGCCCAACCACTGCCCCCAAAGCTTCGGCGCAACTGTTCTACTCTACGGACTCGTATGCTAAGCCGCTGGGTCCCCCAGAAGCTTTCTTTTAGGGCTCCCGCTAGGCTCCCACCATATCCTACTCTGTAAGCAGTTCTGGATCTATTTCGGCCCCAACACGCAGAACTCGTCTGGGGCTTTCGACTTGATAGAGCTGTCTAGGCAATCAGAATAGGGTATTTGGCTGCTATCTAAATCCCTCATACGACCGTAAACCTCATCTTGACTATTCATGCAGGCCCCATTATTCTTCAACCCTAAAGCCTTAACCCTAAACCTAAACCCCAAAACCCCCAAATCCTAAACCCTGAACCTCAGACCCTATAAACCCTAAAGCCCGAACCCTAAATCCTGAACCCTAAACCTAATCCCTAAATACTGGACGCTAACCCTAACCCCTAAACCCCAAAGCTCATCTCAGGGCTCAGAAAGTTCCGGAGCCCTCGGAAAGCCTGCGACCGAAACCTTCAAAGTTCGCATTCCGCCGGAGGTAGGGTGCCATCATCGTGGCCTCCACCGGTGTCCTCGAATTTCGGGATGCCCACGTAGGGCTTTTAGGGTTTTGGGTTGAGGGTTGAGGGGATACTTAAGGTTTAGGTCGCAGGATGTAGCAGTCGGTTGAGGGTTTAGGGCTTTGGGGTCGCGAAGGAGATGGGAGAAGAGTTAGAGAAGCCAAATATACTTCAAGGATCATGGGACTTAGTAACTAAGGCAATAATTAAAATAACTATACTTACAACTTATAACTTGTATCTGCTTAATAACTCCAATTGAGGTACCTATAACCTTACTTACTAAGTCCCATGATCCCTTAAGTAGAGCCCGCAGGACCCGAACACATGTTGAAGGCACCTCAAAGCGAACCCCCCTGGGCTCACACGAAGGAAAACCAGAAAGAGCTTCTAGCGTACTATAGGAGCCTTAATGATCTCCTATACTATTTTGGGGGCTCCTTATTCTTCGAAGTATAGTATAATATACCCCAAAGCCCTATTCTCGTTCTTAAGGCCCCGACATTACCTTTGCAAAGCTTTCGAAACAAGGGCCTTAGGGGTCTCCAGTTTAGGGTCTATGTGGGGTTTAGGGTGTAGGGTCTATATATATATATATATATATGTATGTATATATATATATATATATATAGGGTTTAGGATTTCGAGTTTAGGGTCTTCAACAAAATCATGACTACGCTGGGCTAGCAACGAGGGGCTTGGCCAAAGGGCTTTAGGAGCATGCTAGTACTTCTGTGATGGCGACAAGGATTGGGTTGAGTAAATCTGTTCGACCCAATCGCTGCTGAGGGAAATAAGCTGCGAGGCTTAAGGAGATAAGGGAAGCCAAAACTCGACTCAACACATCTAGAATCGCCAGTTGTACAGACCCTGAAGAAAGTACCCCTCCTCCTAAGGACCCGAGCTCAACGTAGCTAGCAAAAAATAGGGGCCTGAACATTTAGAATGGGGTTTGGGGGGGTGTATCATGCCATAATTATCATAAGGAAACACCGAAAACAGTATAGGTAATTTTTATACGGCCCCTATCATCATAGAACCATAATTACGATAGATCCTATATAGACCCCGTTTAAAGGATCCCTTTAAAGGAGCCGTATGACAACTATCAAGGCCCCTATCTTAACTTCCCTCCTGGATCTTCGCCGGCTTGTCTCAGTTTCTCGCTGATCATGAACCCCAAAGTCTTGAGTAGAGGTTTAAGGCTTAGGGTCTAGGGTTTATGGTTTGGGGGTCGCAACCCGAAGACATCTACAAAGATCCGAACCGCCCCACTCCCGCCCCCCTCCCCCTCCTGCCACCCTTCAAAAAAATACTGAACTATCAAGCACTGTACCCAGGGGCCCCAAAGTAGTTCCTTTTTGGAGTTACCCTATAGGATTCTATATCTGAACCCCAAAAAGGAACCACTTTGGGGCCGTAGGGTAGACCCGCTCCTTGAAGCCCAAACCCCCCCTGAACCCTCACTCCGAGGGGCAGGAAGGAGGTTGGTATCCAGGGAATCTGGGCCAGTCCTGGAGTTTCGTGCAAAAGTCAGATCGGATCGTCTTGGGATAGCATAAAATTTCAGGGTTGTGAAGAACAAGGGTTGAAAGTCTTTGGGCTTATGAGTTTCGCTATTTGGCTTGCCATCGTCATTAGATAACACCGTTCATCGTCGTCACCATCATCATCGTCATTAGCATCTTGCGGGGATGTCCAGGCATTAAAGCAGGGATATATGAATTGAACCAGGGATTTAAGTCCGGGTACAATACAACGCAACTATCTGGACGGACTGTAGGGGAACGCCCATCGTACATGGTTTAGGTTTTCTGTTCGTGGTACGGCTAGATGTTGTACAACTGGTTAAAAACTGCAATAACAACGGTTTAAAATTGCAAGAATAAAAAAGGAAAACTGACGAGCATATCTAACATCACCTAACATTAGGGCTGGGTACTTGGCTGGTGTCAAGTCGGGCTTGGGCGCGAATCTGGTGCCAGGCTTCAGGCTCCGGGACTCGTGAGTAAACCCACGCCTGGAGCCTTGTCGACTTAAGGCTGACGCCCTATTCCTAGGGTCGTGCTGTAGTAGAATGTACCCTGTACCATACCCCAAGGGTCTCATCACCCGATAATCGTATGTTCGGGGGAATGCTTCGTGAGGATGGTATCTTGGGGATTGTTTAGCATTCAAGGTCTTTAGCGAAATACCAGGAATAGACATTGCAAGGGTAGTTTGTGATCTTGCAACATCGCGAGTCCTCAGGTGTTCGAAATCATGTCACCATGATGGGGTACATGCACATAAATGGGCATCAGCATTGCACTGCTGCATTCGCATATACATGCAACTGCAGACTCAGCACATTTCTCATGATCAAATGAATGGGCTTGCTACAGCAAGCCTCTTTCTTGCATGGCCGATCCGTGCATTGCATTGCTGCATTCGCTTGCAGACACAGCATAAACACAGCATAGATTAATGGGCTTGCTACGGCAAGCATCTTTCTTGCATGGCCGATCCGTGCGGGCTCTGAGCATCGATGAGGAAGGTGCGACCATCCCCTCAATTTCTTCATGATGCATTTGTCATGCACTGATGCATTTTGTCATGCACTGCTGCTGTACATGTACTTTGTTGCAGCTGCTCCATTCGCGATTCGCGCCTTTCCGATGCTGTTATAGCCTTGGAGAGGCCACTTTGGAAGCCCAGGCAACAAGCCAAGCTTAAAGCGGAGGGTTTTGTGCATGGCATGGGCCTTTTAAAGGCTTCGAAGGGCAGGCAGCACAGGCCATCAGGTTGCATGGTGCATCAGGGCAAGCTCGAAGCCGGTTGTGTGTGCAAGCCATGGCCAAGTCGAAGGGCGACGACGACGATAAGGCCACCGTCCGAACCCTGAAGGTCCCCCTGGTTTTGCATGTCAATGTAGCTGGACAGCACTTGCGATTAATTGTTTGCTTCTGGATTCGCCCAACAGCAGGGGTCACAGGGGTCTGCACGAAGTATATTCTGTTAAATCCAAGGCCGATGCCGACCTGATCCACGACACCTTGAAGCCCCTTCTGGAAGCCGACCTCGCCTCGATTATGTCAGTGTCCACTCCCCTTGCATCTCGGTGAGCATTTACACGTCGGGATTGCATGAGCATCAGTTCTGTACATGTCACCAGTGGGAGTGCATGGGCACATCGATGTGGATTCAAGGAAAGGGCTTTTATCGAGTGGGATGCCAGGGACACGGCAGCGGCAACAGGGCATGAACTATTCAATTCGTGATGTCTGCAGCATGCATGCATGTTCCGAGGGGCACGATATATGCCAATTCAGGTGTACAACTCCGACTTGGAGGCCAACTACACCCTCTTGAAAGAATATTTAGTAGAAATGGCGCCCCGGACTCCGAATCTGAGTACATTCGAATCAGCTTTCATTTTACTCTCGATTACGCTGAATCTGTTTGGGGAAACCCTCTACCACGTCCGTGGAGGAAAAGGCCAATGCAGAGACCCTGGACAGCACATAAACCATGCCATTCGAGTTCTACCGCACATAGCATCATAGATTATACATTGCGATGCCTAGGAATGGGGACGAGTAGAGGCAGCTCGCTTCCGGTCCATGCTGATGCACATCGCGAAGATGGCGAAGAAGTCTAGTGGTGCAAGGACCCATGCCAGGGCATCTGATTCACCATTGCATGTACTGCACTGTCCTGCCCCATGCTATCTACACATCGGCTTATACACTGGATGATGCCGTTGAATCCCGAAGTGAAAGCTCGAATCATTGCAACATGCAGGAGCCCGAAAGTCGATGTGCTCAAGAAGATTTTCCTCACGAAGTCGCAGCAGCTCGGGGAGCTGTCTGTGCAGGCTCGAACATTGCATATTTTTTTCGGACATTCGAGTGATCAGCATTGGGATTTCAATTCCTGTGGTTTATCATTTACGGCCGCAGTCGAGTGTCCGGGACTCGTGTGAAACATGTACATGTGG